ACACACACACAGACACAGACACACACACCTGTGTGAGGGTCATCCTGGTGAAACTATGTAATAATAATAATAACATAAATGATATAATAAAACGACCATAACTTATTTCCATCACTGGATTGAGTTCAAATAAAACACTTTTCACTTATTTTTTCTTTAGAAACCATAAACTGACACACACACAGACACATAATACACACTCTCACACGCACCCACCTGTGTGAGGGTCATCCTGGTGAAACTATGTAATAATATTAAGATAAATGATATAATAAAACGACCATAACTTATTTCCATCACTGGATGGAGTTCAAATAAAACACTTTTCCCTTATTTTTTCTTTATAAACCATAAACTGACACACACACAGACACACTCTCACACACACCCACCTGTGTGAGGGTCATCCTGGTGATGATGGCCAGCATGATCTTCTCCCCCTTGGTGGGGTAGGGGTTCTTCTGGTGCTCCTGCAGCCAGGCCTTCAGCGTGCTGGTGGTCTCCCTGGTGGCGTTTTTACGCCGGGACGAGCTGTCCGAGCAGGAGTACCTTTAGTTTGTTCAAAAGAAAAAAAACAACAGCAGCTTGTCACGTCTGGGGGAATGTCTGGTGTCTCGTCATGTCTTGATTACCTATTGTGTTCACCTGGGGTTCCCCTCCCTCATGTGTGTAAATAGTCCTCGTTTCCCATGTCCTGTGCCAGTTCGTTTTCGTCTTTCTTGTTTGGTCTTTCGTCGCCCCACATCATGTAAGGTTCTGACTATTTCCCATAGCCATGTTTTGCCTCAGCCTTGCCACAGTTTTGTTAATCTTTATTTTGTTACTTTGCCATAGCCTTGTTTGACCACTGCCATGTTAATCTCGTTTGTACTTTTGCCACAGTCTTGTTTTGATACTTTGCCACAGTTTTGTTAACCTTGCTTTGTTACTTGTGCCAGTGCATTTTCGTCCGTTTCTTCCTTTTCGTCGTCTGTCTTTCGTCACCCCCGTGTCACGCCAGGTTTGCTTTTTTGCCATAGTCTTTTACTTTGTTTCATAGTCATAGTTTTGCCACAGTCTTGTTATTCTTTATTTTGTTACTTTGCCATTGTCATAGTTTTGCCACAGCCTTGTTATTCTTTATTTTGTTACTTTGCCACAGTCTTGTTTACTTATTGCTTTGATACTTTGCTCACAGTTTTCCACAGCCTTGTTTTGTATTTTGTCTGGACATTCACTCTTCATGAGTGTTTTTTGTTACAATAAACCTTGTCTTCCGTCATCTCCACACCTGAGTCCTCCCTTCAAGAACCCACCTTCCCTGACACAGCTCTTAAAAAGACATTTAAAGACGTCTGGCTGAAAAATAAATGTGTTAAGTGTAGTAAAATTGAGCATACTGTTGGATACTTGAAGGCACTTGAAGTGTGTTTATGATTAGTTAACTTGAAGCATGCTATTTTGGAACAATTAATTTTGTATTAAATATATTTAATTGTAATTAAATTGTGGAAAAGCTCAACTTGAAGTGTACTTAGTGTACTTTGATGTGCTAAATTGGAACAACTTTAACCCTATAATGCCAAATGTGTCATAACTGATACGGTTTCTGATGTCACGTCTGGTGTCTCGTCATGTCATGATTACCCATTGTGTACACCTGGGGTTCCCTCCCTCTTGTGTTTAAATAGTCCTCGCTTCCCCTTGTCTGGCGCGAGTGCGTTTTCGTCTCTTGTCTGTTTCGTCACCCCCACGCCAGGTTTGTTTTCGTCATAGTTCTGCCATAGTCACAGTTTTGTCACAGTCTTGTTAATCTTTATTTTGTTACTTTGTCATAGTTTTGCCACAGTCTTGTTTGCTTTGCTTTGATACTTTGCCCACAGTTTTCCACAGCTTTGCTTTGTACTTTGTCTGGACATTCACTCTGTTTTTTTGTGCTATAAACCTTGTTCCCCTCATTCCGCGACTGAGTCCTCCCTCCAAGACCCCCCACATGACATCTGAAGTCTTTTGGATCTGAGAATTTTTGCATCATTCAGTGGTAAAAGCTTTGCTCAAACCCCTGTTGTACACATTCAGATATACCTGATAACAGCCAGTAGAAGACCACACCAACATATATTTTTGACTTATTGCACGCTAATTTGATCAAAATAATTTCTGTTTTATTTCTTCATATGTTGTTGAGGGGCCAAAGAAAGACTTCAGACTAAAAAAATCCAATATTCTTCCTATTTTTCTTGGATCAGGCTTTAAAGGGTTAAGTATATTTAGTATACTTTAAGTATATGAGTTTATATGTACTAATATGTGCTTAATTAGTTAAATTAAAGTATACTTTGATCATTTTAGTTGTTAACAGAATATTATCTCACTATAAATTAAAAAAACACTGCAAACAAAGTGGGAACACGTCTTACCCGTATCTTTCGTAGGAATACTGCCCCAGTGTGTATTCATAAGGGTAGTAGGCCGGAGTCTGGGATGTGCCCACGTGCACTGACACGGCTTCTTTGGCATCCTGGGGTCCCTGAACAAAGTAAAGATTAAATACCACTAATACATTGTTGACAGTTTTTTTAATATACAGTGGCGGAAATAAGTATTTGACCCCTTGCTGATTTTGCAGGTTTGCCCACTTACAAAGAATGCAACGATCTATAACTTTAATCATATGTACATTCTAACAGTGAAAGACAGAATCCCAAAGAAAATTCCAGAAAATCACATCATATGAATTTATAAAAATTGATAACCATCTGATGAGGAAAAACAAACATTCTTTGTAAGTGGGCAAACCTGCAAAATCAGCAAGGGCTCAAATACTTATTTCCCCCACTATATATATATATATTGTGCCAAAATGGACCTGGCTCTTACTCTGTTGTAGAGCTGGGGGGCCTCCCCCGGGCAGGAGTTGTAGTAGCTCTGGCTCTTTGGGTAGGGGCCGTAGACCCCGATACCCGCCCCGGGGGGGAGCTGGGGCCCCGGGGAGCGCAGCACCGGGGGGGCCGGGGCCGCTCCGGGGAGAGACCCGGGGGTCACCAGGAACTGCGGACAAACCACCAACACGCGCTCTGGTCAGAGAACGTGCCAAAAAAACTCATCCACACAACATAATCGTATCCTTTCACTCACAGACATGGTCCAAAAAGTTTATTTCGTCTTACAAATTGAGCCCAAAATAGACGAACCATTAATAAAACGCTCATAACGCCAAAAAAACATCATCCGCACAACAGTTTGGGGCTTAATTGTATCCTTTTACCGTCAGTGGTGGTCCCAAAAACTTTTTTTCGTCTTACAAATTGAGGCCAAAATTGACGAGATATTAATAAAACGCGCATAACGCCAAAAAACCTCATCCACAAAACAGTTTGGGGCTTAATTGTATCCTTTCACTGTCAGGCTTTGTTCAAAAAACTTTTTGTCGTCTTACAAATTGAGCCCAAAATAGACTAACCGTTGATAAAACGCTCATAACGCCAAAAAGCCAAATCCATAAAACAGTTTTTTGGCTTAATTGTATCCTTTCACTCACAGGCTTTGCCCCAAAACTTTTTTTCGTCTTACAAACTGAGGCCAAAATTGACGATCCATTAATAAAACGCTCATAACGCAAAAAAAACTAATCCATACAACAGTTTTGGGGCTTAATTGTATCCTTTCACCCTTAGTGGTGGTCCCAAAAAGTTTTTTTGTCTTACAAATTGAGCCCAAAATTGACGAGATATTAATAAAACGCGCATAACGCCAAAAAACCTCATCCATAAAACAGTTTGGGGCTTAATTGTATCCTTTCACCCTCAGACGTTGTCCAAAAAAGTTTTTTTCGTCTTACAAATTGAGCCCAAAATTGACGAAAAAAAGTTTAATAAAACGCCAAAGAACCTCATCCATAAAACAGTTTGGGGGCTTAATTGTATCCTTTTACTGTCAGGCTTTGTCCCAAAAACTTTTTGTCGTCTTTCAAATTGAGGCTAAAATTCATGAGACATTAATAAAACGCTCATAACGCCCAAAAAACCTAATCCATAAAACAGTTTGGGGCTTAATTGTATCCTTTCACTCTCAGGGGTGGTCCAAAAAACTTTTTTTCGTCTTACAAATTGAGCCCCAAATTGACGAGCCATTAATAAAACGCCAAAAAACCTAATCCATAAAACAGTTTGGGGCTTAATTGTATCCTTTTACCGTCAGTGGTGGTCAAAAAAACTTTTTTTCGTCTTACAAATTGAGCCCAAAATTGACGAACCGTTAATCAAACGCTTATCAGTTGATTTTGACACGTTTTTGGTGAGGTTTGGATTGTTTTGTGCGCGTGTGTGTGTGTGTTTGTGTGTGTATGGGGGGGGTTAAAGGCGCTACCTGTGGTGTGGAGGAGTAGGAGTATCCCAGGTGAGAGTAGGCCATGGTTCAGGGCAGATCAACGCGGCTGACGCAGGACCGGAGACGCGTCCACCAGCATCCGTGCCAAAAAGCAGATTCCCCCCCCCTAACAGCCTCAAAGTCAGCTCTCAGAGTCTCAAAACGTCACCAAAATCCTCTCCCACCTTTTCTCTTTCAAACGGAGTCGCGCGGACGTTTACGCACCGCTTTCATTTCGGCTCCTTTAGAAATAAAAACATAAAAAATAACAAAAAAAACACGTTTTAAAAGTTACTTCTCGCCTTCCCTCGCGGTTCCACCTTTTCCCTTCACGGTGTGCTCGCTATCTTTAAGCCAGTGCGCGCGTGAGTGTCTGATCCAGCCGCGCGCCTCTTGCGCTCTTTGGTTTTAAAGGCGCGCGTCGCTCTGACGTCAGCCCCGGCGCGTGCGCGTGCACGCACACACACCGATATACACACACACACACACACACACACACACAGAGAAAGATCTACCTAATTAATTCCCTCCCAGTTTTCCAGGAGCAGATCCAGGTCCAACCCGATCAGCTGTCCCCGGTAAACAAACGCCAGCTCCCCTCACGCGCACGCGCACGCGCACGCGCACGCGCAGAGCGCGGCCAGAGGCGGGGATCGCGCACGGGGACGCGCTGACACCACATTGACGGCGCGGTGATTGATGACTACAACCTGACATTAGCATAATCGTTTTGCCCTGTAGTTGAGATAACGTGTCACCGCGGAGAAATCCGCCTGTCACGCGCATATTCATGAGTGGGGAGATTTCAGCAAATTAATCAAACAATAAACACCCCGCGTGCGTTCCCTCGAGTAAGCACCTTTAGCAGCTGAATGGGTTGTCATGTTTTTAATAAGTTCTAAGTTTCTCAACGAAGTGGAAACACTTTTTTTTCTGCTCCCCCCC